CAACTGTGTCAGCAGAGTTTCCACCGTTAAATAAATGAAGCTGCAAGACAAAAATGGAAACATCCCTGAAGGGATGTGACTGTTTACACTGACAGTCAGTACACACAGTTAGTGTTCGTTCTGTAGAGTTCAGTGACACTTCTTCTGGATATTTGACCTTCTTCTCATGTTGTTGAAACCCTGGTGTGTTTTGGTTTCAGGGAGGAGAAGAGCGAGCAGCTTCTGGACACCAGGCAGGAGCTGGAGAACTTAGCGGGGGAATCAAAGAGGCTGCTGCAAGAGGTGAACCCCTATGACCCCCCTCCCCCCCACACACATAAGCACTCCAACACTTACACCTGCCCCCCCCCCACTGTATTCTCTTTGTTTCTGTGACGCTGCCAGCCTTTAATCAGAGACAGTGTCTCAGCTCATTAGCAGCAGTTAGAGCTATCTTTAGATCAACAGCCGTCCTGATGGGAAGTGGGCGGCAGAATCAGTGTGTCCACACACACACACAGGCTGTTTATATTCATGACTATGTACATGTAGATGTGTATTGTTTTTCTCCTTCCAAAGCTGTCTTTTGATTGGTACACATTTGGCTAACCTTTAGCTACATCTAGTGTATAAACATTTAGCCGTATTTGTGGCTAGATTTTAGGTTTAATATGTTTGTTTTTATTTTATTGAAAATTTAGTTTTGTTATGGTTTTTTCCTTGCTAACCTTTAGTATTGCTATATTTCTGCTAATTCTTAGATAACCTAGCTCTGTTTGGTTATTCTTTGGTCTTTGGCTGTTTTGCAGCTAACTTTAGCTATTGTTTTGACTGAACTTTAGCCACTTTATATTTTTTTTAACTTCATAACAATATTGTTGCTTATGTTTGTCTTTTGCCAATGCTAGGCTTTAGACTTTATCTTCTCAGATATTATTTTTTAATATTATTTGGACAACTTTTAGTGACACTTGACCGATAAACTCTTGCAGAGCTTCCAGCTGATGTCAGACGCTCGCTCAGCTCGGGCCTATCGTGACGAGCTGGACGCCCTCAGAGAGAAAGCGATCCGTGTGGACAAACTGGAGAGCGAGCTGAGCAGATACAAGGAGAGACTCCACGACATCGAGTTCTACAAGGCCAGAGTAGAGGTACACAGACGCGCACGTCCAACTGTCCTGAACATGTACATCATGTTTATGTTCATATGCAGATGTGTGTAATAAAATACGATGGATTCTGTAGGAACTGAAGGAGGACAACCAGATTCTGCTGGAGACCAAGACCATGCTGGAGGAGCAGCTCGATGCCACCAGGACACGTTCTGACAAACTGCACCTCCTGGAGAAGGAGAACCTGCAGCTCAAATCCAAACTCAATGATCTGGAGATGGTGAGAGGATTGGATTTATGTTCTAGAAACGAGTGAAATCCATGTCATACATCTAATTTTGACAAATATTTCAACGATTTGCAAATTATCTGAAGTCTCCTACAGTAAATACTTAAATCTAAAGAGTAGGGATGTCGATATTAACTAGTTTCCGATATCTGATATGCCAATATTGTCCAAACACTTAATTTCCGATTCCGATATCAATCGATACCGATACAGTCCTGGTAGTATTTATTTATTTATTATCTGTACAAACCACTGTATGAGTATGAGGAGATTAATTAAATGAGCTGCAATGCTGCCATCTAGTGACGTTCACTTTAATATACAGCCGTTTATCCCCAAAACTATTTTTAGGGCACACGTCATATACTGAAACCCAGGCATTGCGTTATCTGCTTTTCATTATTGGAGGGAAAAAAACCGATAACGATTCTTACAGATATCACATAATATGCTAATATTGGGACAGTATTATCGGACATCCCTACTAAGGAGGTTATGATGATGAAAGATAGATAGATTAATGGCAAACAAAGAGACAGAGACGTACTGTATCTCATGTGTGTATCTCACCACTGCCTGTGGTATCTGCAGGACCGAGACCTGGACCGTAAACGTATGGAGGAGCTGCTGGAGGAGAACCTTGTTCTGGAGATGGCTCAAAAACAGAGCATGGATGAATCTCTACACCTGGGCTGGGAGCTGGAGCAGCTGGTCAAGACACCAGAGCTCACTGAAGGTTAGCCACAAGTCACACCTACTGTAGGACAAAAACAAGAGGAACTTTGTAGTATGATTGAGTCACATGGTACAGGGAGGTAAAGATCACTGGTTCAGTCAATGCTTCCTAAACAAAGTCCAAGCCAGGCTTTAATTACCGGTGTCCCCCGGAGTCACCCTGATGGCCTCTGCTCATTTGCCAGCCTCCACTGTGTCGTCCTCACACTTGGTTAAATCCTAATTAATATTCAGTGGCTCTCTGAAGGTAATCAGTTTATTGGCGTAAATGAGCTGCTGAGCTATGGATCTAGATGTTTGGCCAAATGTCACCTTCGAATCTTGGGTAATCAGTCATTCATTTAGGAATCAATAAGTCTGCCTTGACCAGATGTTATTTCATACTCAAACATGTTTTTTTCCCTTCTTTCCTCTGTCTTTGATCAGCTCCTCAGAAGTCGCTGGGCGAGGAGGTGAATGAGCTGACGTCCAGTCGTCTGTTGAAGCTGGAGAAAGACAATCAAACGCTGCTGAAGACGGTGGAGGAGCTCAGAGGAGCAGCCAGTCAGGACACCCTGGCAAAACTGGCTAAAGTCAGCCAGGAAAACCAGAGACTGACCCAAACGGTGAGTCATAAAGCGACCACTGCTACTTATCAGGGTCCCCACCTCTATTTGCATGTTTGACCAGCTCTTCCAGTGATATATAACCCATCCACTTGGCTTTAGACCTTTTCACACAGCGGTAGGGAGAAATAAAACAGGGAAAACAGAGTGTATGGAGATGGGTGGGAGAGAGGCTGAAAGCAAAGCTGTAAATCCAGGCCGTCTCCTGGACTCTTTTCTTGAACGACCCTGGATTTGAAAAAAAAGGCCACCTCTCTTCTTTGGGCTATTTTCAGAACAGAAGCTTCTCTTTGTTCCGTCTGAAGCCTGGAAGCATGAAATTGTGTTTTTCTCCCATGAACAGAAACATCTCTAACTCTGTATCTTCAGGTCAAATTCAGCTCCTCTGGACTGGAACATAAATGATTTCACGTGTCTGTGTGAATGTTTTTGAGCTCCAGTGTGGTCGACCCCCGGCTTAGATAATTGTTCAATCACAGAAGATCTTTGTTTTGAGCCTGAACCACAGATTAAAACCATTTTACCTTCATTTTTACCTCAAAGAAAATATGACATGAGACACAAAGGATTTAAATCTTTTGTATTTGTAAATGTGCAGCTGGAGCAGCTTCAGACTGAGCTGAGCACAGACAGGGAGTCTCTCCACGGCGCTGAAAACCTGAGCTCCGACCTGATGAAAGAGAAGGCGTCACTGGAGAAGATTCTGGAATCACTGAGGGAGAACTCTGAGAGACAGGTACCTGCACACACATAAACGCACATTTAAAAATACATTTTATTTTAAACAGTTTTTTTTACTTACCCTGACGAAGTCATGCGTCTGACCAATATTTTATAGACTTCTCACGTCTGCTGATCACAGGCACCTGCTGTTTGTCAGACATTTTTTAACATTTCAGACCTAAATCTGACACCTGGGATTACTGTGGTGTAAATGGCAATATTACACAGCCGCACCAGGGCTTTAAACTCATACATGTCTAAGTACATTTCTAAGTACGTGACCGACCATTTAAATTTTATTGATTGCACGGAAATCCTTCGCTCTGCCCCAGATGCCGACACCTGCTGTGTGTCTGCAGGATTTTTACATCTACAAGACCCAAAATCTGACACCAAGGATTAGTTTAAACCCCAGCTTTACTCTGTGTGCAGACGTGACTCCTGCACTCACTGATTTATACGAGCAAACCTTTCAGGTAGTAATAGAATGTTGACATACCAAGTATTTCCTGCTCTAAAATGGTATGGTCTGGAAATAAATAGCTGTTCAAATATAGTTTTTTATTTGGTCTGTCTGTCAAGGTCGACATTTGACTGATTTTCTGTCTGTTCTGCAGCTCAAGGATCTGGAGCAGGAGAACAAACATCTGAGTCAGACGGTGTCGTCTCTGCGTCAGCGCTGCCAGGTCGGTGCCGAGGCCCGGGTCAAAGATGTGGAGAAGGAGAACCGAGTTCTTCACGAGTCCATCTGTGAGACTACGGCCAAACTGAACAAGATGGAGTTTGAAAGGAAACAACTACGTGAGTGGCATCATGGGTTTTCCTGACACTTGGTTGAATTTTGAAAAATTCAATTTTTTTTGTTGGATCAGCTTAGTATTGTGTCAGAATCTGAGTCTTTCATACACAGGTAAGGAGCTGGAGGTGATGAAGGAGAAAGGAGAGCGAGCAGAGGAGCTGGAGGTTCAGATGCAGAAGCTGGAAAGAGAAAATGAAAGTCTGCAGAAAAAAATCACCAGCCTCGGAATCACCTGTGAAAAGGTCTGTATTTTGACCTGAATCATGACACGTTAAAATAATAATAATATAATTTGTTGCTGGCCTTCTTGTCCCTCATTGCGAATTAATAAACTTATAAATATTGTATGTTTTTGGACATGCAGGTATCGTCTTTGGAGAAGGAGAACAACGAGCTGGAGGCAGAGGGTCGTCGTCTAAAGAAGAAGCTGGATGCTCTGAAGAACGTGACCTTCCAAATGGAGGCCCTGGAGAAGGACAACGCTCAGCTGGAGCAGGAAAACCTGGAGCTACGACGTTCTGCCGAGAACATGCGTTCTGCTGGGGCGAAGGCTGCTCAGCTGGAGGCTGAGAACAGAGAGCTGGAGAGTGAGAAGAGTCAGCTGAAACGGAGCCTGGAGCTGCTCAAAGCTTCTTCCAAGAAGACGGAGAGATTAGAAGTGAGTGTCAAAATAGAACAAGATTTTAGAAGTCACATTTTCAACCGTTCAATTTTTTTATCCAACATTTATTTTCAAGAACATTTTTGACTGAATTTTGAGAAATAAAATGTTTTTCTTCAACCTTTCATTTCAATACCACTAGGGCTTGTCTTCAGCTGTGAAATACAAAAATAAAATAAAACAAAAATATATTTTAGGTTACATTTTTGTAGCTCTGTCTGGTCCAATTATTGATAACTTTAAGCTTTTTATTTAAGTGACTATTCTTAGTCTTTTTTTGCTAATATCACCTATATTATCCTTTTATGTCTTTTTCTCAGAAGTTATTTGACAAAGAGTTCATTTAGTAGTTTGTTAATGTGTTCTGAACTGGTAGTGGCTGCTAAATAAGACATCTGTGGATCAAAAGTCAAATGTGCCACTTTAGTTCTTCCCTTTTTGACCAGAGGAGAAAAAAAGCCGTCTGTTCTGAGACATCAGTGAGCGACATAACTAGTTCATTTGATGCTTTTAATAACACAATCTGTCAATTTCATTCCCAGGTGAGTTACCAGGGCCTAGATACAGAGAACCAGCGGCTGCAGAAGGCTTTGGAGAACAGCAGCAGAAAGATCCAGCAGCTGGAGGCTGAGCTGCAAGAGGTGGAGACTGAGAATCAAACCCTTCAACGCAGCCTGGAGGAGCTGAAGATCTCCAGTAAACGTCTGGAGCAGCTGGAGCAGGAGGTACGGGAAATAAGACAGTTTCACGTGTCATCACTAAGGAGGTGCTAAAGAAGACACTGTCATCACTAAGGAGGTGCTAAAGAAGTCGCAAAAAAAACCCATGAAATTCAGTTTGGCACCTGAGCAACCACCCATGCACTTGGTTCTAATAAAAATAACAGCATGTCGCCCCAGCATACTCGGATGATCCCAGATTATTTGACTAAACTGAGCCAATGAAGTGTTTACACGGCGTTTAGACTAAAGGTAATCCCATGAAACAATGTTTCTTCTTCAGAATAAGACTCTGGAGCAGGAAAGCTCTCAGCTGGAGAAGGACAAAAAGCTCCTGGAGAAAGAAAACAAGCGGCTGAGGCAACAGGCGGAGATCCGTGACTCCAAGCTGGAAGACAACAACCAGAGGATCTCCTGCTTGGAGAAAGAGAATCGAACCATGGGCAAGGAGATGATCTTCTTCAGAGACTCTTGCACCCGAGTCAAAGACCTAGAGAGGGAGAACAAAGAGCTGGTGAAACAGGTCACCATCGATAAGAAGACTCTGATGACTCTCAGAGAGGTGAACCTGGGATCTTAATGGCTTCTGGAGATGGTCTGCACTCATGTGCCTTTTATTTATTGGCCTTTTTCTGGTGCTGCATTTAGGAGCTCGTCAGTGAGAAGCTGCAAACCCAGCAGATGAATAACGATCTGGACAAACTGACCCACGAGCTGGAGAAGATTGGACTGAACAAGGAGAGGCTGCTGCATGACGAAAACTCAGACGACAGGTATCAAATCACTCATTTTCTCCTTGTCTCAATGATGAGAAGATAATATGATTGGGTTTAATCAATGATCTCATTTAAGATTTGTAAAAACAGATCTTGCCTAATGTAAGTTCAGATGAACAAAGTCACTCAGTAACTGAAGCTCTGTCTTAGGTTTGAACTCCTGCAAACCAAACTGGAGTCCACCTTGAAATCATCCCTGGAGATTAAGGAGGAGAAGATCGCTGCTCTGGAGGCTCGACTGCAGGAGTCCTCCAACCTCAACCAGCAGCTCCGCCAGGAACTCAAGACAGTAAGTCAATTACACACTGTGTCCCTTTGACTGTAAATAATGTATTAAAGCATCGAAGAGTTCAAACAACAGCCCGTAGTTTCAGACCCCAGGAAGACACCACCCAGAGGCAGATACATTATTTATCTTTTCCCTCTTTGCTTCTCTCATACACTTCATCTTGTCGTGATGGTCAAATTCTCTGCTCTCCTCTTTTTCCCGTGTCGGCCATTACTGTAAAAATATCTAGGGACTTAGGCCGGACTTCAAGTCTGCTAAGGGTTAAATTACTAAAAGCATGGACTTAAAATAAACATCTTCAGAGAATACTCCACTATATACATTTTATATAAAAGTAATTTAAAGCTTTTTTTTTTACCTTTTCCAGGTGAAGAAAAACTATGAAGCACTGCGTCAGAGGGAGGAGGAGGAAAGAATGATGCAGAGCTCGCCCTCTAGAGGAGGGGAGGACTCCCAGTCTGTCAGCAAATGGGAGAAGGAGAGCCACGAAGCCACCAGAGAGCTGCTGAAAGTCAAAGACCGGCTCATCGAGGTGGAGAGGAACGTGAGTATGGGCGAGAGAAAGACCTCATGTCTTTATGCCCCCCTACAGTTTGACTTGGTTTATACACCTCTGGTTTGTGCCACTCCAGAATGCCACACTGCAGGCTGAGAAGGCTGCACTCAGGAGTCAGCTCAAACAACTGGAAACGCAGAGCTCCAACCTGCAGGCTCAGATCGTGGCACTGCAGAGACAGACCGCGTCGTTACAGGAGAACAACACCACGCTGCAGACGCAGAACGCCAAGCTGCAGGTAGAACCACAGAATTTAACATATGACTTGACCAATAGCCCTTCTTTCTGCCCTTTTGTTTTCACTGTAGGGTGAGGTTTTATACTTGTGTTGTTGGCAGACAGGATTTACACTGACTGGACAGAGGCTGTGGGACACTCCCTCTGGTCTTAGCAGCTCTATTGATGTACAGTATGATGACAGGGCAGAAAAGGATTTCATGAGCGAACAAAGAGTGTATCACCACCTGGACAGTCTGTGTGTGTGTGTGTGTGTGTTTAAATAAGCAGAGTGAAGAGGGATTTAAGGTCAGGAAACCACAGTGACCACAAAGGAAACATTAAAAAAAACAGTTATCCTTCTCCAGGTTTGAATGCTGGAAAAACAAGAATAGAATAGAGACAAACAAGAATAGAGAAACAGTGCCCCCTGCAGGCCACAGCAACTAAAATCTACTTATTTTTTTCCATCTTGAATGTTTTAATTCATGTCAAATTAAAAGATATTATTTTTTTCCATCTTGAATGTTTTAAGTCATGTCAAAATAAAGTTTTTTACCACCATCTTCTCCCTCAGGTGGAGAACTCTACCCTGAGCTCTCAGAGCGCCGCAATCATGGCCCAGAATGCCCAGCTGCAGAGTCAGCAGAGCAGCGTGGAGGGTGAGCGTGAGGGAGCGCTGAAGGAAAAGGAGGAGGTGAGGTCCACCTACGAGCAGCTCCTCCGCGACCACGAGAAGCTGGCAGCGCTTCACGAAAGGCAGGCGACGGAGTATGAAGCCCTGATCGGGAAACACGGAGGCCTGAAGAGTTCCCACAAGAGTTTGGAGCAGCAGCATCGGGACCTGGAGGACAAGTGAGACTGGGGTTCACCAGTAGGGGGCGAGAGCCATCAAATAAAACACTTTATAATGTGTATGTGCTTCGTTTGTCTCTCAGGTATAAACAGCTGGTACAGAGGAAAGGTGATCTGGAGGAGCTGGAGAAAAACGTGAAGGAGCAGCAGGAAAAAATATCCCAGGAGAAGAAAACCCACCGAGACACGGCAGATCGATGCCGACTGCTGAAGGAGGAAAATGACAGGTCAGAAAAAAATGATTTTATAAGGTCAGGAAAAAAAATGAAATAATAAACGATGAATTACCGTTGATACTCATCTCATGAATTTTCCCCAGACTAAACTCCACAAATCAGCAGCTTCTGAAGGACAACGAGAATCTTCAGACAGACCACAAGAACCTGAAGACCCAGCTGAACAGCACCAAGCTGGAGCAGACCAGACTGGAGGCCGAGTTCTCCAAACTGAAGGAGCAGTACCAGCAGCTGGACATCACCTCCACCAAGCTCACCAACAAGTGTGAGGTGAGGACAGAGCCGACGCCTCTCATCTGCTGCCGACCAGCGACTTTAAAGCAGCTTCTTTTTTTTCATAACTCCATGTCTGTGTCTGTGTCAGTTGTTGAGTCAGATAAAAGGAAACCTGGAGGAAGAGAACCGACATCTGCAGGACCAGATCCAGACGCTGATGCTGCAGAATCGCACGCTGCTGGAGCAGACCATGGAGAGCAAAGACCTTTTCCACGTGGAGCAGAGACAATACATGTAAACGCCCAAGTTACTTCGTGGAGCAGAGACAATACATGTAAACGTCCAAGTTACTTATAATAATAATAATAATAAAAAACAAAACCCAGATCCACAACACAGGAGTCGGGTGTGCTGTATGAATGTTTCTGTGACTTTCAGAGACAAACTGAATGAGCTGAGGAGGCAGAAGGAGAAGCTGGAGGAGAAGATCATGGACCAGTACAAGTTCTACGACCCCTCACCTCCACGCAGGTAAATGACTAATGTCAGGAAACAAACATAGAATTTTTATTCTCGTGTGTATTTATTTGATCTGTCTGGTGGTTATAGGACAGAGCTTATAATCAAAGGGTGGCTGGTTCAAACCCCAGCCTGACCATGAGGTTGAGCAAGGCAGCTCCAAAACTGTAGTGTTTCACAGATGAGATGTAGAAATATTGGTGTCAGTACTTGGTGAGAATAATCAAATGAGTTTGTAAAGAAATGACAACACTGGTCAAATTATCATTGAAGAGAGAAAAATAGCCAAACTCTCATTTTCTCAATTCATTGAAAAATAATCTCAGTTCTTTTTCATCCTGTTTACAAATGAAATCAGAGAACCTTCTCACTGGAACATCTGGGGGAAAAGTTAAAAATCTTATTATTCTGCAGAGCATCAAACTGCTGTGGTCTCTGACACCTGTTAGTCTTAACATTTAGAAACTTCAACATTCAAGGTTTACATAAAGGGCATTTTTATCCTTTGTTTTTATAGTTTTACTCTCTTTCTGCTCTCTCACCTGCAGACGGGGCAACTGGATCACTCTGAAGATGAGGAAACTGATCAAACCCAAAAGTCGGGAGAGGATGCGTTCTCTCCCACTCACTCCGTCTCGTTCGGAGTCCGGAGACGGTTTCCTGAGTTTCCCCCCCGACAGTCAGGACAGCTCGTCCATCGGCTCCGGTTCCAACTCTCTGGACGACACGCTCACACACAGGAGGAGCAACAGTGAGTAACAACTAAACACACGCACACAGACACAGACAAAAACGGTGTGTTGTAGATTTGAAATTTAAAATCAATGCAGAAAAGACTGTAGTGAGGTTCTTGGTTTGATTCCCAGGTTAATGCCCAGATGATTCAATTTGGTGTTTTTGCACACACAACACCGTTGTGGGGTACTTATAATTTCCTGAAAAAATCTTCAAAATGGACACACGATGGGTGTGTGTGTGTGTGTGTGTGTGTGTTCTCCTTTAACCTGCTCCTCTACTTCTCTATCTCTCTCTGCAAAGGGAGGAGAGGGCAGCACGCTAATGCCCAAGGGCAGGGATCCACCAATGGTATGCTACGGATGTGGGGGGGTGAGAAGGGGGTCGGGGGGGGGGGGTTCATTGTGACCCGACCGTCACGTCTCTCAGAGCATGTCTCCGTGAATCCATTCATGGGGTCGAAGGTTTGGGTTGATCTGTGCAGCTCAGCTGTAAACCAGGAAGAAACTCCATCAAACATCTGTAGCATCATCGCTATTAAAAGGTGCAATGGATTCTCGACCAGTGTGGGATCAATAAAGTTCCATCTAATCTAAGATAATCTTATCTAATCCAGATGTGTTCCCTGATACACAGATAGGTAGTTTTACCATCTAGAATCAGAACGTAGTCCTTGTGAGTGTGAGTGTGTGTACTCCACTAAGAAAAAGTGGAAATTAATTTATTATTATTATTTTATTTGCTTTAACGATGATAATAACCAATAGTAATATATTACAAAAATAAAACAATATAATAAATATTTTTAGTTAGTTTTAGTTTTAGTTTAGTAAACATTAATTAATAAACATTTTATTTTCTTACAGTATCTTCTCTGAAACACGTGCACCTGTTATTGTAAAACGGACTCTTTTAATTGCACCCTTTAATGCCCTCTAGTGTCTCATCTGTGCGGTGTTATTTTTATGTTGTGTAATGACTGTAGTTGTAATGTAAAGTACGACACTCATGAGCATTTACATGACGGTGTGTGTCTCTGTGTGTGTGTGTGTGTGTAAGTCATATTGTCTTCATGTAAAAAAGTCTGTGTTATTTACAGGTAACAGAAAGTGTTGGTCGACACAGAGCATGAAGCTTTTCTTTTGCCTCCAGCAGGGGGTGCAGTTTGTTTTGAGTTCATTGATTACATTCAGACTATTTAGACTGTTCCTCTGAACAACTTTAAATCTGAATCATTAAAAAAAAATGACGTTGTCTGTTTTAGTCCATCTTTGTCTACATCTTTTACTATTATTGTCAAACATTAACCACAGCCCTCTGTTCTGTCCTCCTTTATTTCTGTTCCTCCACCTGTTCTGGGACTGTTCTACCTCCTCCTGTCCTACTTTCTGTCTGTCCTTCCTTCCCTCTGTCTCTGGCTGCTCTGTGGCAGCTTTAAAGAGGTTGCCTTTCATGAGGAACAGGTCCAAGGACAAAGACAAGGACAAAGCCATCTACCGGCGCTCCATGTGTAAGACCGCCGTTAGCTGCCGTCGCCCCCTCAAACTCCAACCCCTGCCACGTCGTCTCTCTTCGCAAATGTCACACTTGGAAAAACAAAGACTTACGAGTCACTGATATCACGGTGTCTGCAGCAGTTGGAAGACACTGAGAGATTATTCCAGTCCAACACAGTCACTACGTTTGAATTCATTTACATATTTAATGTTGACTCAGATTATAAAGATTCTAAAAAAAAATCTCATTAATTAGTCATTAATTTTACACATGCTCAATGACGTATCATAAAAACGCAGTCTGTGTTGCACTATACTAGTCATGGTATTTTGAGCAGTGTAAAAGGCCAAAAGTTTGACGTCAGTGACTCCACATCGATGTTTTTCCTCGACGACTCCTAACTTCTACAGCTGCTAACGTCGCCTCCACTCCTGTCCCCAACATTAACACAAGTTTTATTAGTGTGAGTTAAATATATGTCTGGTGGGCAGCTTTTTTCGTGCGCTTTTGTTTT